CTTTGACTTTGACTTTGACTAAAGAAAAGAAGTATCATCCTTTTGACATCAGTAACTCTCAAATCCTTTCCCTCTCCCTGACAAGGTAAACTATTTTACTCTTATTTCCGTTATACTTTTAACTAAAGTGGAAGACTTTCCATTCCATTCCATTTCATTCTGTTACATTGCTTATCCTTCTTTCTAAACCTTCTCGGGAATATAGTCTCGTATCATAAGTGGGTTTGCTGTAGAATGCGATGCTAAATATTCAGTTCCACTTCATTCTATTCAATTATTATCAGCTTTATCCTCTCTCAAACTTAACATGTAGGTATGTCGAAGAATCTGTGCTTGATATTTTATGCTATGACTTGATGGAAAAGATGGAGAAATAACATGATTTCTATAATGCATTTAGTTGTTTGCTAATATGTATATTTTATGCAGCATAAATGTGATCTCATCAACATGAGTTATGGAGAACCTACATTACTTCCTGACTATGGGCGCTTTGTTGATCTTGTGAATGAAGTATCCTTTCTGAACCTTGCATTTTCTGTTTGATCTTCAGGAATTTTTATCCTGTAGTATTTTCATGCTATCTAACATCTGCGGTGCTGCCCTTTTGGTTTTACATTTAGGCAGTGAATAAGCACCGGTTGATATTTGTAAGTAGTGCTGGCAATAGTGGTCCGGCATTAAGCACAGTTGGTGCGCCCGGTGGTACCAGTTCAAGCATTATAGGAGTTGGTGCATATGTCTCTCCTGCAATGGCTGCTGGAGCTCATTCTGTTGTTGAACCTCCCTGTGAAGGGCTTGAATACACTTGGTGAATTTACTTTCTAATTTTAATCCCGAGACATATTTCTTCAGTGGGCCACTGTTAGGCCACTCTTCCTTTTTTGCATTCTGAACCTGGAAGATTGGCTGAAATGAGATGCAGGTCCAGCCGTGGACCAACAGCAGACGGAGATCTTGGAGTCTGCATAAGTGCTCCTGGTGGGGCCGTTGCTCCTGTTCCTACATGGACTCTTCAAAGACGTATGCTTATGAATGGGACATCAATGGCATCTCCATCTGCTTGTGGTGGAGTTGCATTACTTATAAGTGCAATGAAGGTTTCTGTGTTAATTCTTTGAGCTTTTCCTCTTACCTTTCTGTTATTTCCTTTTTGCTTCATGCATCTGATGTGTTACTCTACCATAATTTGAGCTTACTGCTCTGTTTTGTTATCCTCAGGCTGAGGGTATTTCTGTGAGTCCATATACTGTGAGGCAGGCTCTTGAGACTACATCTATTCCTGTGGGTGATCTGCCAGAGGATAAATTAACTACTGGACAGGGGCTTATGCAAGTTGACAAGTTAGATTTCCATGCCTTCAACCTGTTACCTCCATATTGGAATGAAACAAAACAAAGTTGTAACTATACCATGTATCTATGTTTCATTATAGGGCATATGAATATATCCAGAAGTCCCAGAGCTTTCCTCGTGTTTTTTATCAAGTGAAGGTCACCCAGTCTGGGAAATCAAGTAAGTTTGTAACATACACAAATTAGATGTAATTTGTCCATTTACAAGTTTGGGATAGAAAAACATTACACTTGGATTTTCTTAGGCATCACATGTAATAAGTATTAAGCATCAAGTAAGTTTGTAAATGGACAAGTTAGAGTTAATAACATACACAAATTAGAGTTAATTTGCCCATTTACGAGTTTGGGATAGAAAAACATTACACTTGGATTTTCTTAGGCATCACATGTAATAAGTATTAAGCATCATATTCAAGGAGTTGATTTTATCATAAAATCAGAGAGAAAGACGCCAGGATGATAAAAAGCTTAACACCTTTCATTCTTATTACTTTTTCAATATGAAAAGAAAAAGGAAAAAATGAAAAGATCGTCTTATTCAAAACCTCAATTATGAAATCCCTTCTCTCCCACTTCACACCTCGGAACGCACCGTTCTTATAGAGAGAAAGGCGCTTTCACATCTTCTTAACCCGAAATGGCTGGGGAGAGGAAAGGTTCCTTTTTTTTTAGGGTACTCCTGGGAACAGATCCAGTGGAGACGGGGTGGGGCCTGTAGCTCAGAGGATTAGAGCACGTGGCTACGAACCACGACCACAATTTTGGGTATTCACTTAATTTTGTTAGGTATAGGTGCTTTTCTTCTAGTATTCAAGGCTCTTTATTTTGGAGGCGTATATGATACCCGGGCTCCGGGAGGGGGAGATGTAAGAAAAATTACCAACTTGACTCTTAGCCCAAGTGTTATATTTGGTTATTTACTAAAATCGCCCTTTTCAAAAATATTTTATTGAAAAACTGATTTTTATTTCAAAAAATAAAAATTATAAAGATATTTATAGCATTTCTTAACTAACATTTCCTAAATATGAGAAAACTAAGAAATAATATAATAGGATTATGAAATATGTTTTTTTTTAAATAAAAAGTTGTATGTATGTATGTATGTATTGATATTGGTACTACGGGTGTACCACCTTTTATAAAAATATTTACAAGTCAATTAAGCTCTCCAATATGATCCCTAACTCCCTGAAAGATTGAATGCAGTGATTCAACAACCAAAGCCCAAGGGTATGAACCATTTATTCTTAAGTAAATTATATCCATATTAATTCTCTACCCCCTCAAAAGCCCTCCTGTTTCGCTCTTCCTGCACAACCCAAAATATAGTAAGTGGTATTATCTCAGCATCTTTTCTCCTACTCCCCATCCCCTTCTAAGCCCAAATTTGGTTTTTAACAGAAGCAGAGACCATCCAGTTGATTCCAAGAGTGTTGAAGACCATCGGCCCAGAGCCTGTTAACCACTGGACACCAAGTAGAACATGATTGCAACTTTCCTCCACCATTTTGCAAAAATAACATGCATTGACCAATATTTTGCTCCTCCTTTTGAGTTTATTTATAGCCAAGATGCATTCCCTACTCGCTTCCCAAGCAAAAAAGGAGATACGAGGTAGAACCTTTCTGATCCAAATCTGCATGTACAGGAGAGAGAGGTCATTACCTTCATGCTTGCATTGTTTTTGATAAAAATATTTGACTGTGAAGATCCCAGTTTTTGTCAAACTCCACATAGGGGTATCATTGCCATCATATGGAGAGAGATTGGAAATTATTTCAAAAAAAAAATGGAGAGATCTTGGAAAGAATTCTGAGTAGCTGTTCATATTCCTGAATCTCCCAGTCATTCAAATGTCTTTGCACTGAAATCCGTCACTCGTTTCCTCCCCTCATCACAACTGCATCACATATCGTGAACTCTTTCTGTTGAATAATAGCATAAATATGAGGGAATTGATCTTTGAATTCCTCTCCCTCTAACAATGTGTCCTCCCATAACCTTATCTGATACCCTTCCCTACCTTCCACCTGATATTCTCTGAAAGTTAATTCTGTCTCTGGTAATCTTTTTCCATAGGCTTTTAACATGTGATCTCAAATTCAATCTGGTGAACCATCCCTTCTCATCCATACCATACTTTATTGTAATCACCCTTTTCTATAAGGCATCGTATTCTATCAAGAATCCCCACAACTACTTCCCTTGTAGAGTCTCGTTCATCTCAACAAGAGACCGAATACCCAATCCCCTAAGTGTGAGTGGTCCTTTAACATCACTCCAACATGACCAAATGATACTTCCTGCTCCTCTCGATTTCTCCCCGTAAAAATCTACTTTGGATGACTTCTAATCTTTGAGTAACATTTACTGGTAGAGTCAATACTGACATGGAATAAATTGGGAGATTGCTCAATGTACTTTTGATCAGTGTGAGCCTTTCCCTTTTAGACAGGAGTCCTCTCTTCCATCGTGCCAATCTCTTTTCAAACCTCTCCACTACTGGATTCCAAGTCTTCTCTTTAAAACTAGCACCAAGTGGAAGCCCCAGATACTTAATTGCTGGTGTCGCTAGTCTACAACCTAAAGCACTTGCCAAATCCTCTGAGTCAACATCATTCCCCAATCTCACCATTTCAGATTTTTCTAAATTAATACTGAGGGCAGACAACTTTATCAGTACAAATAGAAAAATTAGTTACTGAAATGAATAAAATCCTAAAGCTAATAAAGCTATAAAAATAGACTACTAAATAATATACTAGTTTTATATTTAAAAAAATTATAATTTCTAATGTATTTGGTAATTCAGAGAATCCATTTTGCATCATTGGTCTCCTGGTTGATAAATGATGTAAAACCTTGAACTTCAAGCTTTAATGAAAATTGTTAACCTTTGTGCTCGGTCATGCTCTTCAATTCCAAAAATATGGAGCTGCCCAATTGTTAAGAGTGTAAAACCCTGGCTGTGGGATGAAATCAATGTATTAACAAATCTATGCTTTAAACTCATTCTTAAGGTGAGTATCACTAGACCCAGTTGTTGGTTTTGGTTCCTCTAGCACTGGGTTTCAGTAGAAAACTCTCTATAGATAGTGAAAAGTCTTGAGTAACCTCAATATCTTTATTCTTGGGAAGGTATGCCGGTTCTTCTTGTTCCTCAACTTCAACAAGCTCCTTCTCTTTATCCTTTTCATTGATTGCAAGTGTTTTTCAATGTTATATTTACACGTTTATTTTCTGATCATATGCTGTAAAACTACATCTTTTATGGCAAGCATGAAATGATAAGTATTGGGTAGTCTCATCATACTGAATATGTTGATTATAAAATTTTGGTGGACCTATAAGAATATAAGTGAATATTATAGGAGCAACATCACACAAAAATTGAGTCGCTATAGTTTTTCTTTCTTAAAAAAAGAAAAAAGATTTTTTAAAAATAAAAATAGTATCGTATGATTCATTTACATGTATCATGAGGGTACAAACCCATGTACAAAAATGATTACATATTGATCAAAATATTTATAAGATTTCCAAAATCCTCAAGTGTAGAACCATCTACTTTTTAACTTCTCAAAATTATCTTCCACTCCATCAAAAGCTCTCTTGTTTTTTTCTTTCCAAATTGCCCACAAGGTAGCAAGGAGAATGAGAATAACATATTCCTTCACTCCACTAATGCCTTTCCACACTCAAATTGCTTCCCTCACTGTACCAACTATCTCTCAGTTGATCTCCGCCCCTGTGAAATTGGTGTGAGGTGTAGCTGCAAGGAAGAATGAGATCAAGGGATAGCGGTTTCTTTCCAAATTGCCCACAAAGTAGCTAGGAGAATGAGAATAACATATTCCTTCACTCCAGTAATGCCTTTCCACACTCAAATTTCTTCCCTTACTGTACCAACCATCACTCAGTTGATCTCCGCCCCTGTGAAATTGGTGTGAGGTGTAGCTGCAAGGAAGAATGAGATCAAGGGATAGCGGCTTGTAGTACTTGTGGCTTAGACTGGTGCGTTTTCGGTTCGATTTTCACGGCAGTTGCAGAGATGTTGATCAAGGTTTCCATAGGCTGGTAGGGGCAGTATCACTCACTGTCTGGTGGTGTTTGGTGAACTAATTGGCGCCTATTTAAGGCTTTATGTGTTGTGTGACTGTTTTTTTTTTTGAAATAGCTGATAGATCCTATGGATGTTTGGGTGTAATACTTTTGAGTATTTACTATAGAAACTTTTAGCTTCAATGCCAACTGATGTAAGACAAAGTATGTTTAGTTTACCTGCTCGGGAATTTGGAGATAAGAACATGGACCTGGTTAGAATTTGCATGGAGACCTAAATTAGCTGGAATCAGTTTTAGAG